GAGAACAGCTTTGATTAAAGGGGCTATGAAGCGCACTCTTACCTTTCATGAACTTGTTATGAAAGTGAATCGCTTTTTTTGTCATATGATATCTTGGAGAAGAGTCGAAGTACAAATATATTTTTTCAATTAGGCGTTTTTTTTAGGGTCTCTGCCTTTGGTATTTTTTCCGGATATATATATAACTTCTTGCATGGACCGTGTGCACCAATTTTTTTTTTAGTCTGGCAAGAAGGACAAGGCGATAGGTGCTCATGATGGACTAAAATGAGAGTGGTGAAAAAATGGAGTTTGCTTAAGGATACGCCTGGACCCATCATAGAACAAAATAGCTATTTATATCTTGATACGAAAGTCAATGTTGCCTATGTGCTTTTGAAATTCCGAGTCAGAATTCTCTTTGTTGCTTACTTGTTTCTTGATCTTTTAATCAACCAATTCATTTTAACGATATGGCATAGAAATCAATTCAGATTTCTTTGTTACTAATTTCGATACTAAAAGAAGATTTATTCAAAAGTGGGTCTTTTATTAGCTTGTTCTCAGGTACGATTTATAGCTGTTTATTGTGAAATGGAAAAGTTGCGTTTTTCAAATGAAAACGGATATGTGTGGACGTGGCCAGAATTAAGATTTGCTCGGTCACTCTTTGGTTCGAAGAACAGGCGGTCACCTGTCATAGGGGGTGGGAAAATCTGGAGCTTTGAATTCGAAAACTTTTAAAATACTGATGATTTCTATGATCTATCTGGTTGGGCAACAATTCCTCAATCATCGGGGTCGGAGAAAATCATACACGATCTGTGCAATTTGCAATCATGACGGTCTGTAAAATAACCCAATACTAAGGGATAGTACAATGGAAGTTGTACTGGTTTCGCTCGACAATCAAGGAATTATAGACTTCCTGTCCAAAGCTGACGATAAAAGATGATTGTGTGGTCTTAACGTTTTTATAGAGTGACTAAGTGTTTTGGCTGTTTCGCTTCATTTATACCTATTATTAGCATTAGCTAATCTGATATAGTATATGTGCCGTTGACTTGCTCAGACATGTTTCTCGACAGTAGACCTCAAGTAGTTAAAATAGATACATAAATGATCAAAAACGATTGGCGCACAAGGCTTGATTTGATTTCTAAGTTTTCTTAAGTTTGCAATTTGAAAATTCTTTTGGTAAAATATGTGTTTGTTCATCGTTGTTATCAGTGATAAGGCGCTTGGCTAAGGCTAGTCATATAGCAGTTGAAACGTCACTAATTTCAAATCATAAACTTGAAGGTCAACAAATCGGAAATCTGGGAAATTATTCTGCGTATTACTTACGTTAAATTAAATTAACTACATTCCTTTGACTTAGTATTTGAGATGATAAAGCTGGTCAAGGCTGATCGATTAATGAGAAAACTTATTTCAGGCGCAGAATTTTTAAATTGTTTCCTTAGAGCTCTCTGATTGGTCGTTTTCTTGAAAATAAGGTGAATGGACCACTTCTTGTATGAAGTAACCACGTTTCCTTGTTGAACACCGGTTGAGCTATATATAAGATAGGGTGTGGAGGGTGATGGGGTGGGGGACTGGGAAGTTGACGCGGTAGGACGCCAAAAAAAGGATCACGACAGCTATCCTAACAAGCAATGTAATGATAATTGGGCCGGATCTTTTATTTCCCGAAAAAGACCCACTAAATGATTCGGAACATTAATTTAACTTACGTTTTATTGATAGTACATGCATAAAAGTCCCTAAGCACTCCACTCTGAGGAGTTTTGACACAACTAAGACAATGGTTAAAGGAGTTAAAACACCTGTTTCGTAATTAATCATTAATTACTACTCGTTATCATTGAAGCTTGTTATCATTGAAGCTTGTCATCGAATTGAGGTTACTCCCCGTTTCCTTTCTTCGCTGCTTCATTCTTGTCTGCCGCTCGCTGAACACGCGCGGGAAAGGTTCCTTTTTCTGTTACACCGTCGTTTTTTTTCGCTTGAGCGCTCTGAATACGTGCTGCTGCCTCTTTGGTCATCTCCTTCTTTGGCTTCCCTTCAGATTTCTGATTGCCTTGATCGTCCATTGCACAGGTTTTCACTAAGACAACAATTGAACTGCTGTTTATATCATGAAGTCAATTGTCACTTTTGTTTAGAGAACGTTACTCCCAACCCCACTTTGATTCGGTTGGTACCGCGAATGGTTATGAAAAGTATATATCTTACACATTTTCCTTACCTATTTAAAATATGCTTTATTCGCCTAGCACAATACAAAGAATAAATCTTTGTTCACAGAGTATGTTACCAGTCCGTGATTACTGAAATCGTGTGAGTATACATCGGTACTGAATATGTCTATCCAATGAAGCTACTGAGCCTATTTCTTTCTTACTCTGTTTGCTGAGTGCAATTATAAAGTCTTTTATCACAGACAGTTTGCCTGGTAACTTTGAAGAACATTAGCATCGTCTAGCTTGAATTATTTAATACCCGATAGAAAATTTGAACATCGACCACCGCTAGACTACAACTGAACGGCCTTATCTTTCATATTGAAGTTTTATAACTTTTCCGAGTTTGATAACTTTTCAGATTGTTCCTTTCAGTTCATTAGAGATGAACTAACGCGGGTTGTTTTTTTAGCGACTGACGACCGGCTATTGGAACCAAGTTTAGCCGTTTTTTAACAAAACAGCGTTCAAAGCCATCTCCAAATTAGTCGAACCTTTATTCTCATGAACAGTGTTAAGAGAGCCGAAAGCTAGCAGTGGAAGGACGTTCATTTAATGAAAACAACCCACTTAGAGAAAATACGTAAGGCCCACTGCTTGCGTAAATATGCGGTTTGGGTTAGACCTCGTGTAAATAACCTTTGGAAAAGGTCTTGATATCAAGACAAATAATGATTCCACCTTATCGCTGTATATAGTACAAATACGAGAGACACAGTAAATTACTTACGTATTGTAAGAGAGCGGGTAAGAAAAGCACGAATTACTCCTTGGCGACTGCACTAACCTTCTTTCTTTGTCTTCTCTCTGAAACTGTTTACGAGCCTCGTGATACTCAGTTATTTGAATAGCAGGGTTGATTCTCGGAAAAATCACGTCAGCATAAATTATGATAATGCTTTCTTGGAAACTTAAATTGTTTGTTTCAAGCAGTAATTAAAACCGGAAAAAGACTCAGGTGCGCTGGTGAATATTTCTTCTAAGTTTTCTTAACCGGAGCCCTTGCTAAAATGCAATTAATTTCTCATGATATACACGCTAAACTGTATTTTTAATATACGCATATTTAAGTGTAGATATCGCTTATATTGGTACTATAGGTCAACTCACAGCTCACAAGTAACGAGTGTGACTGTACGTGACTCGAGGCTTGCGGTTTTATGGAAAATTTAACCAGACACATAAATTGACGTAATTATCAATGACGTAAGGGGGAACCCGCTTTCAAAACCACTATCATGTGTAAAACAATAGCACGAAGAAAGTCTGTTACTGATTCTACGGGTTTCTGATGTGGAACTTGTATTGTTGGTTGTCCAAAGATTAAATCAGTATCGTCGAATTGCATATTCGCAATCTCCATTCTACTCATTGTCAGTTATGAAGCTATTTCGCAAGCGCTCAGGTTTTTTTACAACGTGTCGCGCTAATCACGAGGTACCAATTTGCATACAATAAGTCATCACGTGAAAGACAAGTGAGGCGTTAGTAGTCCAGTGGTCAGTACGCTGGCCTCTGGGTTAAACGGCCCGGGTTCAAGTTCTGGCTGGGGCTTAACGTTGAGTCCTTAAGCAAGACACTTCACTCACATTGTTTCGTCTTCTCGGATAGGACGTAAAGCCGGAGGTCCCGTCTCTTAAAGGGTAAGGGGTAAAAAGACGTTAATTTCCCACGCACGAGATTACTGTGTGCTGGATGTCCTCCCCTGGGGTGGGTTGGGTGGGAAAACAGCAGGTCCACATCAGCTTATACAGTTGCCAATAAATTCAACCTGCTTGAACAAATAAACATGATGATGATGATGATGATGATGATGATGATGATGATGATGATGATGATGATGATGAT